ATAGAGAGAGAGAGAGAGAGAGAGAGAGAGAGAGAGACAGATAGGCAGACAGACAGACAGATACATACATACATGATAATGTTATCAACACACAGTAATTGCTGTTCTATTTTACCTTTTTTTTTCCATAGGCCATTGGATCAAAAGGAGTCTTGGCTGACAAGGATTGTGGGCTGACTTTTCCCTATGTTTGCAAAAAGTCAAAATAACAAATTTCAACTATACTTACGCCAAAAAGCAGTTACTCAAGCAGCTGGATGTGATTTTGGAAACGGTCAGACGTTTCAGCTAGTATCCACTAGCTTTCATCAGTGACTGAGAGACCAGAGGAGAAATTTTAACTATACTCGCCTGTATACATGTAGATTCTTTTACAAGACCAACAGAACATAAAGATGTACATGTATAGACACCTGCGAAAGAAAGATTTTAGCCAGGTGAACTTTGCTGAATCTTTTCCTGATAATAGATTTGGCCTTATTCAGCTTAAACCCTTACAAAACAGGATATTTTGCTTTCATACCAGGCCAAAATCCTGGTAAACAATTTATATAGCAGGATATAAAAGGTATAACCAAAGAGACAAACCTTCCTGAAGTGTCATTTCATTAATATTTTAAAAGTTATACTCTGTAATTGCCACACAATTAGTATGATAGAAGTTCAATGATATACAATTACTAGGAAGGAATTTTCCACCTTTTGTAGTATCTAAATTTTGTATCACTGCAATGCCAATCTTAGATTTCTACTACTTACAAAAAATCAAAGGAAAGGCAAAGCAGCAGTAAGATTTAGATGCGGATTTGCTGGATAATAATAATGAATGTTTTATTGCAAATTCATGCCCGAGGGCTAATTGCAGGAACAGAAAAAAACATTTGGTATAAAAAAACAGACAATTACTACACATAGAACTACTGACAACTACTAAGAAACTACTAGTAAAAACTACTGGGTTTGACTTCTTTTTGGAAGACAGAGGAAGATAAAGGATCTCACTTTTTCTGTAATTTGTGGGTTTTCGGATGTTAAGAGGAGATTAGTTTTCTTTTAATAATACTTCTTCATCAATTGATCACATTGATTGATGAATTTGATGCAGCCTTTGTGCAATGAGAACCAAGAACATAAATTGGCCATAGGGCAGAAAATCTACTTGAGAAATAAGAAAAATATTCATACAGACACGTTCTGTGGATATATTTACAAGGCTATGTTACGTCAAGGAGTTTGTAAGTTCCTTGGTTACGCAGTGTACTCAGAACCTCAAAGGGGGCCCTTTTTCGTCGAGCGAAATCGGCAGTTTTAATTCTATGTAGAGCGTAGACGGACCGCTCTAATTCAACGTAGAGCGTAATTGGTGCATTTTGCGTAGAGCGTATTCGCCGTTTTAATTCTACGTAATGCATTGTAGCCACTTAAAATTTATCGTTAAGTGTAATCGAGTGCTCTCACAATTTCATGAGCGTAGAGCGTTGTCGGGACCCCCC